CCAGTGTATTAACTAACCAAGACCATGGGATATCGGGAGTTGTTTTGGGATATGCCCTCACAACAACCTTTATCCTATGGGTTACTTTTACACTTATACAATCTTGTTTTTGTGCACGACTAATAGAATGATCACACAACTATGAGTCGTAGGATAGTAGATATTGAACCAAATGTTTCCTTTATTTCAGCTCGTTATCAATCAGGCGGACAAGTCAAAATCAGTATATCTGAGGATGACAATGACGGACATTCACCGATACAGGACCACCAGTCACATTCATCAAGTAACCCAAACATAATGGAACAGGGTGTCCCCGTATAGAAAAGCCTGCGATACCTGTCTGTATATAGTTTTATAGTACAGTATAATATAATCAACAAATCATTCTACCAACAATACAAATAATATATTGATCTATACAACTTTTTGAACAATACGTATATGACTAGGGTACATTGCAAACAGGTATCAGCGTTTCTTAATAGTTTTTTTTTTAGATTATGTCTCAACCGCGATTTTGTATTTATCACACCTTATTATACTATGTAGTTATAGACTTATAATATAGAGTTATTGAGTGTGCGGCCATATTTGGTGATTAATAAACTTTCTGCCATACATTACAGTCTAAGTAGTAAATACACAGAATTTGTAACTTTAACTTTTTGTAATTTTGACAAAGATGATTTTCATATATTTTGTAAGATAAGCATTACATATAATCATTGTCATTTACAGTAATATTTACAATGTACTTGTTGTTATAGTGTTGATAGTAATAACGCATATTCTTCTAGTATGCTACTAGTCAAAGTAATTTGCATAGCATATTATCAAATGTCAGTCCCTGTGATTGCACCACGGTATATAATGGCAAACCAATATCTTTATTTATTCGTATATTTATCGCTTATTTGTATTAGTAGAAATACACTTTTAATTCCATGCATTGAGTGTAGTGTTGCAATGGGATATCGAGAGAAGGATAATACAGGGCGTATTTATTTTAGATAAATAAAACAAGTTATTTGACTCTTGACAAGATGTTACTCAATAATGTGTTGTTGTTCGTAATGCCAGGCTTTATTATCCTTTGTTTCGCGAACCCGCCGAATGAACAGGAGCCGAAAATACAATTTTATTTCAGCGTAATTTCTCGCGCGCGCCGACTTGTAAGCGCAAACAAATGCTAACAAATACTTTTATCTTCATGTTTTTACCGCCCGCCGCATAACAAATTCAAGTTGCATTTTCGCGAAGATGAGAAACAAGGTTATACATGGAATAAAATGTTATTTCATTTCTTCTCTCCGATCTTACTTACAATTCTTTGAGAATCACACAAATCTAATGGAAAAAAAAATTAATTATATTTTTTTTCCACTCTCCTCAAAAAATTCCCTTATAAAAACTCGAGAAACAAGGAATAAAAAAGTCTAAAGTGAATATTTTGGCGACACTATTTGGTTTGGTTTTTGCATGGGTCGTGTGCCAAGGGTTGTAAATTTACCTTTACGCATGTTTGCCAAATAAGGAAGACGCTCGTATTGAATTTGCAGCATCTAAGAAACTGAATCGCAGGCGGGATTTTTTTTATATTAAGTGTGAAGCATTTTAATCTGAGCTTCACACACGACCTTTTTGAGATGTTTTCTGTATAGTCATTAGGTCCTCCCTTACCACTTGAGGGCGTTAATCGTTAGATCCCATCACGTTCTATGTTTGTACAAATTTTGAATCAAAGCTTCTATATAACCGGGATCCGTGTCCGTAATGGCAGAAATGCTATTTCGTCATGATTTTTAAACATTGAAATGGCTGCCATTCGGCCATTTTGTGTCGGATCACCATACAAATAAATGTACATATGTACTTCATGATGTTTCGCGTATGTATGCAGACTGAATATGTTGAAGCAGCATTTATTAAAACATCATGCCCAGTAGTCGGTCATTTTGAGCACGATCAGAAAATCGTGACAGTTGCATCGTATACATGTATGCAAAAACATAATTCATAATACGACACCCCTCCAGTATTGATGGACCGTGATATACAGTGTATCATATGCTAGTAGACTTTCTACATACTACGGAGCAAATCAACAACACGTGAATCTCTCTTCACCATAATCAGCGCTACGTTCAAGTTGCTTATCGGGAGGCAGAAATTCAGCAACACTGACCAAACGGAACAACGATAAACGATCCCGCATAAAAACCCAATTTTAGGAGGTTCACAGGAATGCCCGTAACTTAATCCCCAGAGAAATTATTAACACAAAAAACACATATCGCATGGTCTCAATTTTATGACAACATATACATTGCCATAGCTGCTCAATATCTATAGCATAACAGTAGACAATAAATAACTATCCAACTCAAATGGCTTCCTGGGGCCTGACGGATGAAGGGCTCTGTAACGCTGAAGATAGATTTTAGTGCCCCCAACTATAGCATAAGCTTTCCACATTCAAACTTCATGCTTTGATTAATTGATGAGCCCAGCACACAGATACACTAACTGTGACGGGTCTGACAGATCCATTTTTATCTGTTTCACATGTAGCCATGGATACATGTATAAGGCCATCCCATAGAGTGTGATCACATTGGAGAAACTGCAAGCAAACCCAGTAAAACAACTATGTGCTGGGTCACACTCAATAACCTCTGTGGAAGTCAGCCAGCTCAAAATACTATAATATGAAGCCACGGTTTCCTGTGACCAATGCTCACGAACACCACATCTTGACCACACGGCCTAACAGATGGTAGATCCACAACTTTTCAGCATTTTTGACACAGTGAACACAAGTTGAGCTACGCAACCGGGTTTGAAAATAAGATTTATATTTCCTCCGATTTATGGTAACTGCAAACTACACAATACTGAGTACCCAAAAATGTTACACTCCAATCATAATCAAAGAAAGCTTAGAAAGAACTCCCATGTGCTGAGTGTATTGGAGACACATTAAATATAATTCGAAATTACTTAGCTGAAAACTAATTATGCAAATCAGAAAATTAATATGAACAGATTTGAGTGTAAAACTAATGAGGTCTGCGCAATGTAACAGAAAATCTATGTTTCCAAGTTTAATTGAAATGTGATTAGAACCAAAAAATTATGAATTATTATGCTTATTAGGGAATTAATATTAACAGATTTTTACCCCAAACTAATTAGGTTTGTACATTGTCCTAGAGCATCTTTGTACTAAGTTTCATTGAAATAATTAGTACTTTAGATATCAGTGTGAAAGCTTAAAATTGGTTAATTGTGCAAATTAGGTAATTAATATGTACAGATTTTAACCCACAATTATCCAGGTCTGTCTATTGTCCTACAGCATCCATGTACATTCATTGATATGTGATGTTTAGTACCTGAGATATCAGTGTGAAAGTTGGTTAATTATGCAAATTAGGTGATTAATATGCACAAATATTTACCGGAAACTAATTGGTCTGCATAATTCTAGATTCATTGAAATGATGATTAGTACTTTAGATATCAGTAGAAAAGCTGAAAATTAATTATGCAAATTAGT